TATTAATTTTAAGCTTAGTTATCTTATTTTAATTGGTGAGACTTTTAGTATATTTCTTGTACTAAATCTAGTACAATGTACTAAATCTAGTACAGGTAAATCCAATCTATTAACTTTAGGGTCATTTTATCTTGGGGTTAGGTTAGGTTTTAGGTAGTTATATATAAGCAAATTGCCTTCCCGACATTTTTAATTAACCTACCCGAGTTAGATTTAAACTGCCGTTTTTTGTATTTTTCAATAATTTGATTGTTTGAAAATCACGTGATTTAAACCGCTTTAGACATCCCCTAATTTGGGAAGTTACAGTCGATTTATTATGATTTATTTCATATTTTCTATAGCTTCCACTAGAAGTTCCAGCATTGATGAAAAGATTCATACAATTTCGAGACGAGAGCCAAAATAGTGGCCTTCATCCTCTCATAATCGCTAGTCGTATACTTTCAACTTTCCTTCATGTTCATCCATTTGCAGATGGTAATGGGCGTGTTGGTCGTTCAATTATGGCATTATATCTCATTCGCAATGGGTTTCCGCCCGTTGTTTGTCAAGATATTTCACGAGGAGAATACATATCTACGTTATTTATAGCACAAACAGAAAAGGATTCGATTCCACTATATGCTTTGGTTGTGCAAAACATCTTTAATATTTTAATGAGATATCAAGCGTAGATTTATATATTCTTTGACCGTATTAAATGAATAAACCAATGAATCTTTGCCAGAACAAACGAGGACAATAATGCTAGCTTGGTTTATATATTAGGACATCATGATTTTTAAATGTATGCCTTTTTTTCTAGAAAACTATATGCATTGACATTTGTCTTTTAAACTATTTTTCGGCACTAGAAGATCAACCTTTTTTTAATAACAATATCTCTTAAACCGTTTAAAATTCAGGGCAAATTTGCCCTCAAATTTTCCAATCGTCACATGTCCATAAATAAAAAACTCACTAAATATATAAAATAAGTGGATCTTTATATTATTCATGCTTTAATATTCAATAAACTAATCTAGGCACTGCTTATCTATGATACATTACCATTGAATAACTTTTGAAGTACTGGATGATTTTGCCACCAAAATGATCACAGGATCACGAGATAATCAAAATTTTATTTTACATCAAAATTTTGACGTATAAAGCTTTTAACGATCTCGTGATCCCGTGATCCCGTGATCTGATTTTAGCGATTTTGAGCTCATTGAAATCGTCTCATCAAGGCGATCATTTTGGTAGTAAAATCATTCAAAACGAACCAGTCTATCAAAAGTTATTCAATATTTAAGTATACTGTATAAGTTTTTCATAGTTTTAAAAACTCCAATATAATTGTTAATTAAATTTTCTTTTAAAAAAGCAGACAAGTACGCCAATTCGCGTTTTGAAAAAAAAAAAAAAAAGCAGACAATACGTAACTATAAGTTATACTCATAATTATTCCCGTTTATATATTAATCTGTTGATCCACCACTTTACCTACCCACCGTTGAAGTTACTTGACATTAATAAAGTTGTGCAAATACAAGTCAACTTGCTTTTTTACTGATATTAGAAATTATTTTAAAATAAAATTTTGTAATTATAATATTTTAATGAAATTTTACTATTGACAAATTTTGATAAATGTTAATTCCGTCAAATTATCACCCTCTATCTTATGATTATTATGATTAGCAAAACTTATAAAATTTATCTTTTATAAAGTTATTTCTTTTTAATAGTTAGGGTTAGGGTGAGTGCTAATATTGCCCTTTGTTCATGTTAGGGTTAGTATAGTTTATAGTAAAATTTCTTAAAGAGTTTCTTTTACGAACTACATCATACCACCTTTTCTATTATATATAAAGACATAATACCGACAAAGTTAGCCAGCATTAGTTATAATGCTGGCCAATTTAGTCGGTATTATGTTCTTTCGGGAAAATGTCTTTCGGGATTTTAGGGTAGATCCCCATATAACGGCAACTTCTACGTAATAGTGACTATTATTAACAGATAAGTGTTGAGGTGATACGAGATCAAGATTAAGAAAAAATGATTATTCTCGCATCTTCACGTCATTTGTTAACATAAATTTGAAACACTTAAACCAAACAAAATAACTTAAAGCTGACAAATTTTATAGCGATACTGATAAATGGTTCTATGAAAAATAAGTCATATTGAATCAGATCGAATCGAATCAAATGTATGTTAGCAAATGTACGTACATACGCATCAATCAATATATATAATTTAAAACACTTTATAAACACAATTTAAAATACTTCATAAACACTTTAAACACTTTAGAATTCATTGTTAATTTTAAGAAACTTTGGATATTTATTAATTTTATTAATTAATCTTTATTAATTTTATTAATAAATTTAGTTATACAAATTTATACAATTTTAACAAATTTAAAACATTTAATAAAATTTCGAAATTAATATATCTAAATTATTTAACTTACATGAATTGTTGGGGATACTTGGTTTCAGCTAAAAAAAATTTTAGCTTACTTGTCCCAGTCACCGCATAGAGGTGTACCCCATGACTGGGTTTATAACAACCCGGAGTTGTATCCAAGAGTGGACGTACGCGTGAATGAATAATATATACTCACTCAGGAAAAACTCATACCTAGAGTTCGGCGAGGGGGGAATAAAATAAAAAAAAATACATGTCG